TGTGCGGTTCTAGTTGAGTTGAACGTCACCCACTCAAGACGCCTATAGCCTTTTGTGCTAGACCTGCATTTTATCGACCAGTCGACACTAGGTGGGTGATTAGGTCAATATAATGCCGCCCTCCTTCACTTCCCAGGACTGTACCGGGTACCCTTTTAAGGCTGGGTCGATCTGAGAGGCAAGGTAGTTTGTGGACAATGTTCATCTCCGTCAGACGAGTGTCTAGCTACTACACCACAGCGGCTGTCGCACAAAAAAAAAAAATAAACTTTAATATAAAATTTAACCATAACTATTCAGACCCGTGATGAATTATTATGTTAATATGGTCAAGATAGGTGATTAGACTTACAATACATTCTAAGGAAAGACTCACCTAGCATAGTAGTCTTCGACAGACAATGTGTTATAACCAATTCCTGCTCCACCAGAACTGAACCCACGACCTTCGGACCGTAGGCGAGCGTCTAGCCGCTTCACCACAGCGACTCCTATCGGCATATAGGGCTAGAGCTATGTTTGTATCGACCATTGGGAAATAGGTGTGTGAGACGGTCAACATAAAACAGACCGTCATTGCTTCCCAGTTATAGTCTGACAGAGGTGGGACTATTTCCAACAATTGCCAGGGTTAGAATGCAACTCCTTGTGTGGGTTCCGGGGTCCATTGTGAAGGGGGAAACAAACATAGACTCACTCTTTCAAGCATGTCGTAAGAGTCGTCTAATTTGGGGCTTTCTTGGAGGTTGGAGTGTATCTGCCTGAGAGGCAAGGAACCAGCAATCTGCATGCAATTAAGTCAGATCTGTTAAACAGATGTGAACGCAACACTCAGATTCTGGAACAAGACTGAAATCCAGAGATGGACAAACAACCAGAACTTTCTGACGTAGCCAGGGTTAGAATGCAACTCCTTGTGTGGGTTCCGGGGTCCATTGTGAAGGGGGAAACAAACATAGACTCACTCTTTCAAGCATGTCGTAAGAGTCGACTAATTTGGGGCTTTCTTGGAGGTTGGAGTGTATCTGCCTGAGAGGCAAGGAACCAGCAATCTGCATGCAATTAAGTCAGATCTGTTAAACAGATGTGAACGCAACACTCAGATTCTGGAACAAGACTGAAATCCAGAGATGGACAAACAACCAGAACTTTCTGACGTAATTTACAGCCAGTGAACATGAAGAAGGAGAAGAATGCAACAAAATTTTATCTCCGAAAACAATAAAAAAAAAGTTAGTACAGCTACAAATCACGGGGACAACTTAAATTAAATCGACCTCCGATTTTATTCAAAAAGAAATCAAAAACTTATTCGAAAGCAAAAGCATTAGATTCTTTTTGGCAATAACCGGTGGTATGGAGAATATGGTAGATTTTTTTACTTATGAAATCTTTTATACACTATTTTACATTCTTGAATACCTTAGTCATTATACTTTTGGCTTATAAACTGTGAACACAGTTTCATAACTCCGATTCGTGAATTCAGTTCAGCTGTAAATGATTCGACAGCAGCCCGCTTGGTATTGATTGTATCAACCGTATCAGCGATTATCCTTTGGAGAGCAGTAGCATATTACTGAACATAACATTGCGAATTTAAACCACAAAACAACTAACAACTGCAACATCTCCATTCTGTCCCCAATACGGGATGCAATTTTTCTTTATTTGAAGCACCACCTTGGCTCTTGCCAGGGGCCGCAATATAGCTCGGCCATAAATATGGCATAATGGCTGAACGCGGTTTCCGGGATCTCTCCACGGGTGATCCTCATCCGCATTGTGGCACTTTGTGTCATCAGGTGTTTATCGCTTGTGTGATGTCCTGGTGGGGTAAAAGTACTACTACTACAAAAACAATCAATTCCTAATCAAATCTCTTTCTTAAATGTTATTCCAGACAAAGCATTACGGTCTGCTGTGTTTGTAAATTATTGCTGTGTTTGTTATTCGACATATGCTTGGTTAATTTACATTTTTGTAACATATGGTGCCATTTCGACGGTTTGAGATTAAATCTGTCCGTATTCCATAGCTGTAGATATCGAGCTGTGCGATAGATATGCCAAATGACGACATCATTTTTTAGGGGTGCTAGTTGGTCATGTTCTTAGTACACTTAGGTGAAAGGTTCGATTCCCGACACGGTAACTACAGTTTTCGACCTCTATTTTGTCTAGTGTGTCCTTCTATTATTTTAGATCTTTCTATGAGTGTCGATCAATAGATTGTCTGTTTGTTTATTACATACAAACATACATACATGTATATTTAATACATACATAAATACATACATACACACACACACACACACACACACACACACACACGCACGCACGCACGCACGCACGCACACACACAGACAGAGAGACGGACAGACAGACAGACAGCAAAGCTGGACTTAAAATACTGACATCGGTTCCCACATCAGCCCAGCATCTAGTGGGTAGCAGATACAAGTCCTTGGAAGTAAAGGTAGCCGGTGTGATGCTGAGAACATCACCCGCCCAGTGCCGATTTTTTTATAAAATGTAAGTCTAGCTCTGTTTAAGCAAAACGATTCGAAGCATGGAAAAGGGTCCTTAACTCTACTTCTGGTGCCAAATTGTCGTACACAACGTCTCACTGCCGGAATGTAACCGCGGGTCGCCGGTTGAAAAACACTGCTATAAGTTGTCTGTATGAACAAACTGAATTTTACTGTCTTTGCTAGTTGCTAATTTGTGCCATTCTTCAAAATTTGTAATGCTTGTTGTCCCCTTGATATCTCATTGTAGCCATTTTATGTTAGACTGGCAGCCTAAGTGAGTGAGTGAACACCACCAGGACCGCACAACCAGCGACTAACACTCACTGACACAAAGTGCCACTGTTCACTATTCAAGTTCCAGACACACAAAACCGGCTCCAGCTGACGGGTCGTGCTGCTGACGTCACCGGGTCAGGCTAAAGATGCGTTAAAGCAGTGGTTCTCAAACTGGGTGTAGCGGCAATAATTTTTAAAAAGTCGGCTAAAAATTCTGAAATTATTAAAGAAGGAATGTAGATACTTAAAAGTTAAAATTGGAGTTGTCTTTCCTCGCCACTGTCAAAAATAGTTTATTTCTTGTTTGAGACCCGCTGTGTTAACTCATCGTTAGCCTGACCCGGTGACGTCAGCCGCACGGCCCGTCAGCTGAAGCTGGTCATGGTTCACACCCCACTAATTCTTCTGTGAACTCTGAACTTTTCTAAATTGTCAACGTTATTGACATCAACATATAAAGAAGCTGTACAGCAAGATAGTAAGTAACAGTAACGTAAAGTAAAGATCCCTTTTTACGCCTTGGGCGTTTGGGGCATATTGGAAGATGTCCCTATATGTTTACAGACCAATCGGCACTAGGTGGGTAAGGTGGCCAGCATTACGCTGGCAGTCGTTTTTTTCCCAAGTCATCCATCCTGGTACCCATTTTAGGCAGGATCGACCTGCGACGCCCCACAGATCTTGGTCTTTGGTGTTCTGGATCAATTCCACTGATGATATTCCTCCATGCCACTGTCCATCCACCACCATTTCTCTTGGTCTGCCTCTGCAGTGATCTTTCCAGTCGTCAGGATATTTTTAATTGCTTTTTTAATTGTACCCTTGTCATTGTTGTATATAATGTTTTAGTTTCATTAGCCATTTCCAGTCAATCATTGTTAGTTATTCTGGCAGTCCAAAATATTCGCCACCTTCACTCTCAAGAACCACATCTCAGTTGCCTCCAAACGCTTCATAATTTGTTTGCTCACATTTTAATATTCACTGCTATACGTTGCTATATCTATTAAGATACATCAAAATAATCTCGTCTGGGTCATGAAAGAAATGGTGCGTCTAAAGTGGCTGCTCATACCCCACATCTCTTTGTGTAATGTAGCTCTGGGGGACCAGATACTCAGAAAGGAAAGGAGAAAATAAAAAGAGATACTATTCCAGAAATGCAGTACTTTTCGCTTTAGTAAACAAAGAAATGCGTGCTGAAGACCAGACTCGACTTGCTAGTTGTATTGCTAGGCGCATTCTTGAATAGTAATTAAAAAAAAAGACTGGAGTAGATGTTATAAACAGGATGCAGTGAAACGAAACATAATACAGAAACACAAATTTGCGATAGATACATTTAACAGAAAACGTATTCGGCAAAAAAGAAAGTAGAGTGAAGAACCCTTTTCTACGCGTCTAGGTCTTTTGGGCATATAGGGCTAGACTAATATTTTATACACAAATCGGCGCTTTGTAAGAAACGTGGTCAACATCACGCCGTACTCCTTTACTTTCCAGGACTTTACTTGGTACCCATTTAAGGCTAGGGAGCCAAGGTAAGTTTTGAGAAAACAAAAGTCTGTCTTTGTCAGTACCCAAACATATGACCTTCAAATTCGCAACCGGCGTCTAGCCGCTAAACCACAACTCCAATGTTCTGCATACACAAAGCAATTTTCCCTGCAAACTCCTCCAATATATATATATAAGATGAAATATAACTCAACAAATGGCATACACACCTATCACAATGCACTTGATAAACATATAAAATAAACCCTGCTCAGTGCCGTGCTTGTAAAGCAATTAAAATTGAAAGCTGTAATTTCATATATCATGTAAAACATAGTACAATGCAAAATGAGTACGCTTTAATAAATGATTGAATTATGTTTAACGCTTTGATTTAAATTGAGTTTTAAACTGTGTTTTCCCCACTCGGGACGGCCACATGGAAATGTGACACCCCTGTGACTCTCCAAGAGTCGGTTCACGGTAATAATCCCTTGACACAAATTTGGGATACCTGCAAAGAAATTATTAGGACACCATGATAGCTACATCACATACTACTTTGGGTGCAATGCTTTTCCAGCGTCGACAGGGTATTCAGGTAAGTGAATATAGTTTTGGAACATGTTCCACTGACATGAGTTCAAAGAAAATGACAATGGAATATTTATGGGGCACGTTTAACAATAGAGTACTATTTCCAGGTGATCGGGTTGCGGTGTTTTGGTGGAGCGCTTAAGCATCTCCTGCCTTGCAAAGTTGGTCCTTTTAAACTGACAGCTTGTTTAAGAGGCGGACCGTTTTTCTCCGTCTCGTTTAGATACTTCTTCAACGTAATCGCCTCGGATACCCAGTCAGGGTGAATAACGAAATACTCAGCCTGGCCAGTATGTGCGCCCACAAAGAAGCCGCCATCATAAGAATATGAGGAGCTAGGTCTGGTTCTAGTTGGTTTTCCAGCTGGTGAAGTCTTTTCGGAGCTGGTGTCACGAGAGGATCTTGGGGAAGAAGCAGCAGAAGAACCATAGCTTCGATGCAAGAAACTACTGGTCGGTAAACTTCGGCTCATCAGCTGACTGCTGTCTGTCCATATATGGGTAGTTTGGTTCCGCTTCTGGTATGCGATAGCATGGGAAATTGGCCGGTTCATCTTGCTGCCAGGGTAATGAGAGACAGATGACTGTTGCCGAAGAAAATAGAGATTTGATGACACCTGCTTGTGATGTTGTTTATAAGTCTTCAATTTTTCTGATAATTCTTGGGTGTAAGCAATTATCTTCTTTATATGAAATTAAGATGTTATTTTAATGTTATAACAGTAGAAAGATTGTTATTATCAGAGTAAGTAAGGGACGCCTTCAGGCGTATTGGATACATACGGGTAGACCTATATTTTCTTAAACAAGTCGGCGGCAATAGGTGTGTAAAATGGTAAACATCACACCGACTTATTTACTTTCTAGGACTAAACTAAGTTCCATTAAAGTTCGGTTAGATCCAGAAGCTAAGGTCATTTTCGAATAGTAACAAAAGTCAGGTTCTGTTGTTATGATGAGTGCAGGTTGCCAATATTAGGCTAGATCGTCTTTACATGCACACGACACTTTTCTGGGAACAGTAACGAGTGGCTGTGTTCATCCACTTTTCCTTCGTCTTCTTCTTCTTCTTCTCATTCTCCACTTCTATCTTCTTCTTCTTTTCTTCTTCTTCTTCTTCTTCTTCTTCTTCTTCTTCTTCTTCTTCTTCTTCTTCTTCTTCTTCTTTTCCTTCTTCTTCTTCTTCTTCTTCTTCTTCTTCTTCTTCTTCTTCTTCTTCTTCTTCTTCTTCTTCTTCTTCTTCTTCTTCTTCTTCTTCTTCTTCTTCTTCTTCTTCTTCTTCTTCTTCTTCTTCTTCTTCTCTTCTTCTTCTTCTTCTTCTTCTTCTTCTTCTTCTTCTTCTTCTTCTTCTTCTTTCTTCTTCTTCTTCTTCTTCTTCTTCTTCTTCTTCTTCTTCTTCTTCTTCTTCTTCTTCTTCTTCTTCTTCTCCCCCTCCTCCTCCTCCTTCTTCTGCTGCTGCTGTTGCAGCACTTGTTCCTCTTCCTGCACTACAACTTGCATCAAATCAACACTTGTATCCTACATTGGAGCATAAACCCTCAATTGATTCACAGCGAAACTTCCTATGTTTTTTTCATTTCCTGCTCCATCTTACATGTCATCACATGTTTGTTAGCCCTATTTCTAATTCTGTATTGTATATTTCTTTTTCTCCCTCTATTTCTTTAACATTATCATTCCACATGAAGGATATTCTAGTTCACTATTAAAATAGTTTGCCAACACATGTCTTTTTCCTAGAAAGTGGTTAGTTCTCTGCATAATCTTGACAGTAGAGATTCTGATATTCGATTGTAAAGGTTCTGCTATCCTGCGGCGTCACTGTTGATTTAACAGTAATTGATTTATCCGCGCTACAGATTTATGTTATATAAAGCAATACTTATATAGAGTTCAGTGTTTAAAGTTTCAGGCAAGATTTAAATTTATTTTGACCATTACCAGGAAAGCTCTTGACTTTGTACTTTCCTTTTAATATATTTGTTTCCTGTCTGGCCACACATTTTGCTGTCTGGCTACCTGACTATAGATGTTTGATTGCATCTCTTGAAGTAAAGTTTGTATCTGTTGGTGTGTGTATGTGTGTGAAACAATGATTCGCACACATATATTGCCACATGAGAGATACATGATCCCAACAATTGTGTCTGTTAGGCGAAATGTAATTTGCTTTACGCTTTTAATACTGGGGAGCCGCCGTGGTTTAGCTCGCCTGCAGAGCTGAAGGTCGTGGGTTCGTTTCCTGACGAGGGCCGGATAAAAAAAGAAACATTATTTTGGCTCCCAGATCGACATAGCCTTACGTGGATACCAGGTTCAGTCCTGGGGAAGTAAAAGCGGCCGGCGTGATGCTGACCACATCACCCACCAAGTTTTGTTTGGTCTATAAAATATTGGTCTAGCCCTATATACTCAATACGCCCGAAAGACGTGGAAACGGGTCTTTTACTTTACTTATAATACTGTTTAACTTTCAGTGCATGTGTATGTATGTGCATAAATATATACATATGTTTGAATGTGTGTGTGTGTGTGAATGTGTGGGTGTGCGCTTGCTTGTTTGTAAGTGTTGATGGACCTATCATCATCATCATCATCATGTGCTCTGCCAACTGGCGTAATCGCTCATGCATCTCCACAGATCACGATCCTTGCTTGCCTGGAACAGCTCTGTGGATAATATCCCCCATGTCATCGTTTCATGCTTTTCAGCATCATCTCTCTTGGCCTGCCTCTGCCCCTTTTCCCAATTATCTTTCCAGTTGTCACGATGTTCTTCAATTTTCTTCTTATTATGTAGTCAAACAACATTGTTTGTCTCTTTCTTTGATCTACTTTCATTAGCTTCTTTCAAGCAATCGTTGTTAGTTTCTCTAGCAGTCCAAGTATTTGTAACATTCGTCTCAGAAACCACATCTCTGTTGCTTCCAAATTCTTCCTAGTTGAACATGACATACGCGCACGAAATCTTCAACTTTTTTTTTTTTTTTTTAAATTAATGTTACTCCCCCTAGATTGCAGTCTGTATGACAAACATCTGAAGGATGAGAATCAAAGAGCTATTAACCTCGGAAATATCATTCGACCGTCTAGTCATATAGCAAACGTAAAGTAAAGGACCCTTTTCTACACCTGCAGACCTAATGGGCATATAGAGCTAGACCTATACTTGATAGAGCAATCGGCAGTTGGTGGGTCGTGTGGACAGCATCACACAAGTATGGCCATATAGCACAATTATAGTGGAGCGTAACAATAGAGTTACAAATATACCTGTAGCAGACTGGAGCGGGTCGAATTGATTCCTTTTATTTCCCACGTTTGTACTAGACCCAGTGGTAGCCTTCCCTAATGACCTGGCATTCCAGCTGAAGATAACAACTAACAGACAACAGGCGTGCTTTCGTTTTCTTAGGCTTATTTTTAACTCTTTTAACTCGTTCAGTTCCAGGTATTTGGCAATTCTGCACTGTCTATCCTAAAGTTTGAGTACTTTGAAGCCACAATGAATAGTCTTGAAGAATTTTTAAGAATACGACTGGCTGACTGACTGACGTTTTACCAAACCAGGACATCACACAGAACGACAAACACCCAGAGACACCATTCGGATGAGGATCACCCGTGGAAAGGTCCCAGAAACCGCATTTAAAACATAGGTTGGGTTATATTAGGTGCCCCGGCAACAGCCAAGGCGGGGCTTCAAAATAATGAAAAAATTGTGTTCTGCATGTAACAGAATTCATTAAAAAAATTACGGTTTTATTAAAGTTGATATAAAGTTTGAAAGATGAAGTAAAGAAATTTGAACTTTATACCTATAACAGAACGTGTACAGTGCGTTTTCTCGTGCTGAAAGAGTTCAGTTTCTCAAATTGTCCATAGAAACGGAGGGAGTAGTAGACACGATTTAAAAGTTTATCAAACTTTCCATTGAGGTGGAGGAAGTAACAGCCACGATACCAAAGTTTCTCTCAAACTTTCCATAAAAATGGAGGGTGTAGTAGACACGATAAAACAGTTTCTCAACTTTCGATAGATGTGATAGTAGTAGTAGTAGCCACGATATAAAAGTTTCTTAAACTTTTCATAGAAGCGGAGGGAATAGTAGACACGATATAAAAGTTTCTCAGACTGTTTATAGAAGTGGTGGGAGTAGTAGACACGATATAATAGTTACTTAGACTTTCCATTTAAGTGCAGGGAGCAAAAGCCACGACTCTGAAGTCTCAAGTATACTTCTCTGAAAGGGCTGTACATTAATAGCTTCTCCCCCCCCCCCCCACCCATAGCGGTAAGCAGTGGTACCCGCTATCGGCCCCTTTTAAAAGGCACAATGTTGTGTACGTGTGCGTGTTTGTCAGCGCTATCAAAACAGACCCATTGTAATGAGTACCGCACCTTTGTGAATAATGTCTTGTGTTCAGGTAACTTTCTGTTTAGGAAAGAAAGCCCAATTTTCTAACCAAGGTATACATTCATATACAATACACATGCACCTGGGAGCAGAGGTGTCGACACAAAGGAAATAGTGGGTATGGACCCAACAGAGGATACATTTTTAGGGGGCTTCTCAAAAGTATTAGGTTGGATTATCTTGATGTACTTCATTACAGCATATTGATGTTTAGTTGTCAGGTCACTTCTTCTTCTTCTTTCTTTTCTTCTGATGCTGCTAGTTCTTTATCCCCCCCCCCCCCCGCTCCTCCCTCCCTCAGTCTATTACCCCTAATGATCCCACGCAAAGTCATCCTTTGTCTATCG